TTAGAGAGTAAGCAACGCGTGCAGATAACCTCACCACTGAACTGCTTTAACACACACGATGTGCGTTATGCACAACAGCTTTTGCTCCTAAGAGCCTTTATCACCATGAATACGTGAGCACATCGTTTAGCCATGTCCAGACACATACCAGCATCATCACCATCACCACCATCAACATCACCATCACCACCATCATCACTAAGAGTGTCACCGCCACCATCACGATCATCATGAGGAATTTATTGTGTTCCTTTTGTTTAAAGAATAGACAGTTCATTTAATTCCTGGAGGCCAGCTCTCAGGTATTTGCAAACAATTCAGATAAATTCCGAAGGAGCATGTTACTTTATTCTGCCCTCACTTGGGCCTCCAGGAGATCTAGGCATAATCAGATGTCAGCTTCCTGCCTACTTTTACTGAAAACAACACAAGTAAAGTGAAAAGTGTTCTCCTTGCAACTCGAGGGGCTGAGGGTTTGACAGGTAAGTGGCACACGCCACTCGCTGGCTAAAGCAGCGCCAGGCGGCTCCTGGGTGAAAGTGCTCCTCACCCGTCCAGCCATCTAGTCTGTGCCTGGAGGGCTGGGTGCGCCCAGCCACACTCCTTCTGTTACCTGAACCAAAATATCAAATTAGCTGTGGCATGAATTGTGTGACTCGGCTGGTGTCTGGGTCAGCAGTCACATTGCTTTCTGAAGGATATTTCAGTTAGAGTCACAGGAATGTCAGTCTGCACGCTCAGAATATTAACTGACCATGACAAGGGGAGCCGATGGTGACAAATGCCGGACTGGAATATAAAACTGTCCAGGGATGGCTGCCAAGGGTGGAAATCGAAACCTGTCTACGTGAACGAAGAGGGCTAAACCAGCAGCGTTTTTGGATCCCGCCCAGGGAAATGGCCTCAGAACGGCAACAGTGGTCGAACTCCCTCTCAGTGGCCAAGTTCTGGATGGGGCGTGGTTACCACATATTTGCAGCTAGGAACTCGATTTATAATCAGATCCAAACCCATGTGTATATTCCAGTTTTGCGTGGGAACTATATGTTAACACAGCAAATAATCTTTTACAAATTCTGATTCCCATATTGAACTGAACTCAAAACCGAAGAACGATGTTCCCTCGGGGAGTGACCCGCTGGGTGGCGACCCAGGGAACGGCATCGCGCCCGGGGCAGCTGCACGAGGCGGCCGCTGAACCCGGTCACTGCCGCCCCGCGCTTCGCCGGCACCCTTTCTGCCGCCCTGCTTCACGCGGGTCATTTCGTTTTATGTTGCCGTAAAGTCCTTTGAAAAGAGGCAAGTGTAAATAACGAATAAATGAAGGAAGACGATCTCTTTTCCATGGCGAGTTTTTACCTAACCAACACCTGCCACACACAGTGAGCCGGTCACGTGCCGGCCACTTATCCGGGCTTGCACACGAGTGAGTTTTCCTGTGGTTCTGTCTAAACTCAGATGGCCGCACAAGCGGCTTCGACCATGAGAGTCACGCAGTAGCTGTCTCTCCCTCTGCACTAAGTCGCAGGCCCCTCCCTCGCTGCTCTGGCACGTGGCCCGGGGGCGTCTGAGATGCCCGCTCTCCAGGGCCTCGCGGTCCTGACAGCTCTCCGCCTGCCTTGCTGTGGAGTGGAACTGGGTTTCGTGGAGAGAGCTGGCACGCCCTGTGCCTTCGTGGGGAGTCTGTGCTGTGGCACCAGGAGTCTATCTGGACTTTTCACACGGCCCTGGGGTGGCTCTTCCAAATGGCATGAGCGGTCTCCAGGGAGTAGTGTGACGTGGCCCGCCTGGGTGGCGTTATGGTTGAACACCAATTAAATCCCAGCAGTGAACTGAGAGGTAATCTCAGGAAGCCCTGGACTGCGAACTTAGGGAGCCGGTCTTGTCTTCTCTCATCCTTTTTCCTACTATGTAGGGAGAAGTCTTCATCCCTCCTGCCAGGTCAGCATCTCTGGGCCAGGTGACCTTGTCTCTCCTTGGCCACCCTTAAGACTCAATTCAGAACTTCCCACACAAGGGGTAGTCGGAGAAAGCTGGAACTTGGAACTCAATGGCCATTCAAAACAGAGTCCAAGACCACTTAGCCAGAGGAACAAATTAAATCTGCAGTTTGGACAGTTGACTCTTAACAGCATCAACTCTGTCTCAAGTTATCTGTCTTTGGGAAAAAACACTATTTACCCTAAGCTACAGGTTCCTCGTAGGGAAAATCAGGCTGAAAATAACATCATCTTTTAAGGTTGATAAGAAGAGCAGACAAGACCATTTATGTGGAGGAACGCACGCATTCATCCACTCAGCTAGTGTCATGCCGGGCACACGCCGGGCCCCGGGTACGAAAGGTGGAAGGAGAGGCACATTTTGCTGTTTTCCTAGAGCTTATGGTCCGTAAGGGGAGACAAGCATTGATTAAGTCATCACACAAACGTGCAATCGCACACGGAGACGGGCTCTGGTGGGGAGCGCAGGGTGCATCCTGTGGGTGGGGTGCAGCTCACCGTAAGGACCAAGCGGTCTTCCAACACTCAAGCAGAAATTGGCCAGAGAGGCTCGGCGGCCCATGCCACTGGTACGATGCAACGAGACGCGGCCAGACCGTGTCCCCCTCATGGAAGGACGCATTACCACCGCTGAAGCCCTCTCGCTCAACGCTGAACACAAAGGGTCAAGTTTCTGGACTAGATCCTACGTCACAGGAAATACAGCAGCCTGTTTTCTTTGGGAGCCAATCAACGAATCCAGAAACACCCTCTGAGACGAGTGAACTGGGCCCTAAAATAAATAAGTGCAAGGAAGGAAAAAAGAGGGAGGAGAAACCCGTAGATTAGATGCAGCTTAACACATACATCCACTAATTCGCCGGACCCTGTTGGGATCCTGCTTCAAAAGGAGCCAGTTGTAAAGAAAATTTATGACAACTGAGAAATTTAAACACCAATTAGATACTTAAGTGATATTAAGGCATTCCTATTAACTTTAATGTCCTAAAGCTATTGTGGTTAGGCTTATGTAAGAGCCTTATCTTTCAGCCACGCAGAACTGAAATATTGGCAGATGACGCCACTCAGAGACAGCAGAGGGTGGGGGAGGCGCGGCCCAGAGAAGTAGCAGGAGAAACCGGGGCCGCTGGTCGCTGAAGCCCAGCGATGCACGTGGGGGCCCCGAACGAGTCTTTCTGTTCGTGTCGTTATTGACATTTTACACGACTCTTCTTAAATCACACAGTGCAGGTGGGAAGACGGCACACACAAAAGATCGCCCGCTCCGCAACTCGGCACAGAGAAAAACTCCCACCAAAGTATGCAGTTCGTAAGGGTCACTGGAGAGCGAAGACAGCATCTCCAGAGGGTGCGAAACGACGGGAGGTACCAGGTGACGGGAGGGAGCTTCTGGGCAGTGTGGCGGCGCGCGCAAGGACACCGGAGCGCGCGCGCAGGGACACCGGAGCACGCCCCCTTCTCTGCGCACTGCCGGGTACCCTGGTGGGCCCCTCACCTCCTCCCACTCCCAGTAACCAGGACGAGGTGGTCAGCACACGGGGTTTTAAGCTGTGGGGCACAGGACGGGAGGAGAGAAGGGGTGGGTGCCAAGAGGACAGCCCAGCACTACCTGACGCGGGCAGAGGACCGCAAGGGGCGGGGCGGGGCGGGGCGGTCAGCACCATGGAGAGGGCCTGGAAGGCTGAGCAGAGGCTGCTGCAGAACCGGGGTGCCCTTCCGCAGAGAGTCTACAGCAGAGGTGCCAGGTGATGCGGGGCTGGGGAAGGTCAGGAAGGAGACACCGACCGACAGTCAGATGGCGGAGGAAGAGCTGCGATGGGCGGGCTGAGGGCGGGAGGGCGGACGGCGGCGGGCCTGGGGGGCTGCTCAGGGCAGTGCGCGGTTAATGCGGTTAACGCGGCAGGCGGTGCCCGGGGAAGAGCGCGCAGGAAAGTGCTCAGCCGGGGGTCGAGCTTCCCCGGCCCCCCCAGCCCCGGCGACGGAGACGCGTGCGCGGAGGTCGTGGTGGGCGCACGCGCTGCCCCTTAGTCCCCTCGCACACCTTTCTTTCCGAGACAAGCGCAGGAAGAAAGCACTGGTGACAGCCACGCATCCTGCCCTCTCACGACGACTTGGCGAAAGTGCCATCACGGTCGCAGACAGAGCGCGAGGACTGCGGGCTGCGGGGCGAGCGCCCGCCCGAGCACCGCGCGACACCTGCTCACCAAGGCCACCGCGCGGTCCCCGTCCCCGGCCTCCCGAGCCCTGTTAGGCTGGATGCCACTATTTGCGGATCTTCAGAGAAGTCACAGCTCCTCAGCATCTGTTTGTGTTTAATGGTCTCGGAAAGGGGCTGTTGGAGAATGAGCAGACCAGGGCCTTGTGCATCCGCAGCGGGGTGGGGACAGGACAGGCCCGCACCCTGGGGAGGAGCCCCGGGGAGGAGCGCGCGGGGCCGCCCCACAGGCACTGAGAGCCCCGCGGAGAGCGCGTCCCTTTGCGGGCCGCAGGGGCGCACACTGCGTCGTGAGCGGCCTCAGTCTCAGACTGGGGTCTTTTGGGAACAAGGCAAACGTGATTTGGGCCTGAGTTTGACCACGGCAGTGGTGATGTGTGCGACAAAATGCAAGCCGGCCGGGTCCAAAGCCTTTAGATTCAATTTCCAAAACACTATGAGCGCGCACAAGTCAGGCCCGGATCCGGCCATGCTCGCGAAGCCGCTTCATCATCTTCATCAGCGAAGTCGTGAAACTGCGCAACCGCGGAGGAAGGGTTCAAGCGGCGACAGCCCCCGGCCCGAGGGGCACCCACCGCAGGAATGACCGCCTTCCCCTCTCCCGCCACCCCAGAGGGCGCAACCTCGGGCACGACGCCTCCTCGCCCTGCGCCTGGCTGCACCAGGAGGGGAGCCGTGGGGAAAGAGGCCCCCTCAGGCTCGGGGTGCAGAGCCCCCCGGCCTGGAAGGAGGCCGGGAAGACGCCGAGCGTCAGAAGCGCCGGGGCGGGGGCGAGGCTGACTTACCGTCGCGCGGGCCCGCGGGGTCTCCGGGGCCTTCTGCAGGCGAAGACCATTTCTTGGAGGCCGAAGGCGCCGACAGGACCCTGGGCACCCTCCAGGGCATGCGCATGAGGTCGTGGGGCGTGAGCTCGCCATCCGCAGAAGGCGTGGGGGGCTGCAGGGCCAGGTAGGCGCCCAGCGCTGCCACGAGGTTCCGCTTGCGCACCCCGCCATCCACCTTGGGGCTGAGCTCATCCGGTGGGAGCCATCCGGGGGTCCGCAGCGCGCCGCCCGCGGGGTGCCCGGCCCAGGAGGCGGGGGCGAAGGTCAGAGCGGACGTTTGCGCCTCGTAGGTCCGCACGCCGTCGGCGACGCGGTCCTCACCCTGCAGGGACCGAGGACACAACAGCAGCGGGTGAGTCTCTGTCGTCAGCCAGCGCCACGTGGCGCCGTGTCCAGGTTCCCAAGGCGCCAAAGGGCCCCGGGCACCCGAAATGCGCACCCAATCCGGGCGCCGTCTAGTCATCCCACCCCAGGGCCAGGTTCTGTGGGAGGGAACGAAGTCCAGCGCATGGGTTTTCACCAACAGCTTTATCAGATTAATTCACATGCCATGAACTCACCCAGTTCAGTTGTTTTCAGTGGGCAGCAAACTGTGCCAACATAGCCACTATTCCACCGTTCTGCTAATTCCAGGACACTGTCATCATCCCCAAAGAAATCTTGTCCTCACAGCCGTTCCCGTCACCCCTCACCCAGCCCCAGGCAGCCGCCAATCCACTGCGCGTCTCTGTGGGTTCGCGTCTTTGGGACGGACGGTTCACGTCAGTGGAAGCGCAGCCTGTGGTGCCTGATGTCTGCAAGGTGCCCGTGTGGCTGCTGTGCTCCCACCGAGGCTGAAGCAGAGTCCGCTGAGTCCGCTCTCAGGACAGAGCACAGTTTGTTCATCCGCTCATCAGCTGTTGGACCTTTGGGTTGTTTCCACCGCGCGCGGCTGGTGACCTGAATAAGGCTGCTGTGGACGTTCAGCGCGGGTTTTTCCAGGTCATGTTTGCAGTTTTCCCGGGTATGCGCCCAGGCCCCAAATCGCTCGGTAGCGTAGTAACTCTGCAGTTCACTCACCAAGGAGCTGCCAGAACGTTCCCGGCCCGGCTGCTCCGCTTCAACGTCCACCCGCAGCGCGGGAGGGTCCCAGCTTCTCCACCTCCCTCGGCTACGCTTGCCATTTGGTCATCTTGTCGACTGTAACCATCCTAGTGGTCAGCAAGTGGTTTTGCTGATGTGTAAATCATTCTCAGCCTATCCCTTTAACAGCAATATTCCAAACCAGGGACGTTGAACGGGTCTCGGGTTTAATAATCACGCATGATGCTGCATCCATGACGTGGCTAATGGTCTTTCACGGAGCCTCCACCCATGCCCTCCCCACCCGTCTCAGACATTTTCCCAGCAGCACATGTCTGCATCATACTTTGTTTTGCCACTAGACATGTCGAGGCCCAGTTGTCCTCACTTCCGGGACAGCTACACACACGTTAGGGATCTCGGCACTCTACCACCGCGGGGGCACCGTCGGAATTTCATGGACAAACAGTAACCTCCAACTTTGAGCCTCTCAAGGTTACAGCTGTGGAGACGTGCCCAGAGGTCCCTCCACCGTGCGGAACGTGCCCGTGGGCCATAAATCTTAAAAGCCTTGCCCACCGATATTTCCCTCGTTTTCTTCCCTTGGGGCACATGGTCACTGCGGAGTCGATGGGGCGTGGGCCGTGGGATCTCAGAGGTGCAGCTGTCGCTGAATTTAAGACGAGCGGCTCACACTCGCAAGTCTGGCTGTTTTCAAAACTATTCGGGTTCGGCCTTCCAGGAGAGCTTTTGGTGTAGCGAACTACAAATCAGGAAGCTGGTGTTGACCCAAGTTCTAGTTTCCGTTCTCGCATTTGAACTCAGGCAAATCACTTGACCTTTTGAGACTCAATTTTCCTTCGTCAAAGGAGGAGACTGGACATTATCTCTGGGATTGTTTTATTTCTAAAATGATATGATTTGAGCCGTCATCCCAGTTGTTTCATTTTGTCTAAGTACTGGCTGAAATCAGCTGCTTTTCCTTTCAGAAAAGAGAAAGTAAGATTCCTGAGAGGGAGAGGGAAGGAAACTGTCACCACAGCGAGCGGCCCCTCCAGGGCCCCCACGAGCTGCGGGAGAGTCGCCTGCAGCTCAGCCCGAACTCGCCCTCAGAAAGGCTGTCGCCGAACGCCGGATCAGGCCACACGCCGGGGGCTGGGCCCGCTGGACCCGCGTCCAGACGCCTCATTAAGGTGCCCAGAAGCCTCTCTCTGCTCTGCTACAGATGCGGTCAACCTGCAGCTTCCACTCAAGGGCCTTTGATTATAGTCCACTTGGACAGCTCATGGCAGCGGACAAGCCAGGCCGTCCACGGCACATGACCAACCACAGCAGAATGCAATCCATGCTGTAGACCGGGATAAACAGTCTATTGTGGGTCCGTTTATGCTCTGAACCAAATTAAAGCGAAGAGGGAAAAGCATATTTCAGTAGGTAGGACAAACAACAGAGACTGTACAATGAGAGAAAACATTATAGTTTTCCTAAGCCACACCGGGTCCTCTGTAAACAATGGCTAGCACGATGGTACCCTTGGGGAACCTGCTGTGGCCTCGAGGTGAGGTTGCCCACCCCCAACCAGGAGGACTGGGGGCTGGGCAAACAGCAGCGAGGAAGGTGTTCTGGCCTCCTCCTGTGTGGTCTCTGTCTAGGAGAGAGCAGCAGAGGTCGCTGGACTCTGGGGCGGGGCTGCCTGGGTTTGAATCCCACCCCTGACGCCGACAAGCTTCGCGACCTTGGCTCTGGTGAGTTCTTTAAGCTCTGAGTCCCCCGTAAACTGGGGATGCCAGTCAGTGCCGGCACAGAAGTGCCGGTGGCTGCTGTTGCTGTCGCCACGATCGCTGACTTCGCCCGCTCACACCTTCGTTCCTTAAAGCAGCAGGAGGCTGCGGCTCAGGTGAGACGGGGCCCCCAACTGTCCTTTTCCTGCACTTTCAGCCCTAAGTTTAAAATTCTATGATCGTTTTCAAATCCCTATTTTGAAGATGTTTTAAGCCTCAATTCAACAAATCTATGATGTCATGTTTCCTAAAATGATGGTGGATAATTTTTAAAACTGGAGCTTGGCAACCTAAAAGCATGAACACTGGCCAATCTCCAGCCCACGGAATGGCCACTCCTGGTACCACGTCTTCAAACCGTGTGTCAGGGACATTTAGTCTGGGCCCCGTGGGCTATTTTGAAGATGTTTTAAGCCTCAATTCAACAAACCTATGATGTCATGTTTCCTAAAATGATGGTGGATAATTTTTAAAACTGGAGCTTGGCAACCTAAAAGCATGAACACTGGCCAATCTCCAGCCCACGGAATGGCCACTCCTGGTACCAAGTCTTCAAACCGTGTGTCAGGGACGTTGAGTCTGGGCCCCGTGGGGCGGGCCACCGTGCACGTGTGCGGCACCTGAGCGCGGCCGCCAACGTCTCCTGACGTCTCCACTGAACTGGAATCCCTTCGGGAACATTCCCTGAGCCATGGTGTTTCCACACAGAACTGTTCACGCACACACACCGGCGGGGTGTGCTGCAGGACAGCAAGGGGAAAGAGGCCTGCTCGGAGGCCGGAAGAGCTGTCGGCGCAGTTCTGGGTGACCTGGGACACGTTTCCCCATCTCTTTGGGCTTCACTTTTATCGCCTGCCAAACTTGGAAAATAATTTTTTTCTTAAAGCAGTTGTGAGAGTTAGGGAGAGTTTAGGTAAAAGTATCCAGCTTAGCACACAGCTCAGAGGAAGTGTTTACCACAGCCATCAAGAATCATCGCCACCTCAGCAGGACCCCCAGCATCACCACCGCCACCACCGCCATCAGCATCAGCATCCACGCCATCAGCATCGGCATTACTGCCATTGGCATCAGCATCAGCATCACCACCATTAGCATCAGCATCACCGCCATCAGCATCAGCATCACTGCCATCAGCATCAGCATCAGCATCACCGCCATTGGCATCAGCATCAGCACCATCAGCATCAGCATCACCACCATCAGCATCAGCATCAGCATCACTGCCATTGGCGTCAGCATCAGCATCACTGCCATCGGCATCG